GGGGGGGGGATGTGGCACCCCTAGGGGGGCACGGGGCATGATGAGGAGCGGTGGGGAGGGGGCTCCTGGAGTAAGGGGTGACCCCGGGGGCTCTGGGCACCGGTTGGCAGCGGGCAGGCCTGGGGGTGACAAGGGACGTGCGGGGAGCGGGGCGGCAGGACGCGCCGGGGGCAGCGGGGGACATCCCTGGGGGCATGGGGGGCAYGGGCTGAGGTGCCCCCCGCCCCGTGCCGCCAGGTTCGCCACCAAGGAGCGGGACGGGCTGCTGCTCTACAACGGGCGCTTCAACGAGAAGCACGACTTCGTGGCGCTGGAGCTCGTGGGCGAGCAGCTCCAGTTCACCTTCTCCGCAGGTACCATCCGCCCCGGCCCCGGCCCCGTCCCCGTCCCCGTCCCCGCCAGCCCCCTCCTCACGCGCCGTGCCCGCAGGCGAGTCCACCACCACCGTGTCCCCCTACGTGCCCGGCGGCGTGAGCGACGGCCAGTGGCACCGCGTGCAGCTGCACTACTACAACAAGGCGGGTGGCACGGCGGGCACGGGGCAGACCGGGGGGCACGGGGCAGGCGGGGGGACCGAGGGAGGGACAAGGGGACCGAGGGTGGCGACGGAGGGAGGGCGCAGGGATGGGGAAGGAGGGATGCAGGAGGAGAGCAGGGAGAGGGGTGGATGGTGGAGGAGGGAGGAAGGGCGGCTGGAGAGGGATGGAGGGAGGGATGGGCTGGGGGTCGGGATGGAGGGATGGGGCTAGAGGGGAGGCTGGATGAGGGGGGTTGCTGGAGGAGCTTGTGGATAGAGGGATGGGGAAGTGGAGGGAGGGATGAGGCGGATGCAGGAGTGGAGAGAGGGAAGGATGGAGGGGAATGGGGAGGGAGGCTCGGATGGGTGGGAGGGAAGGGAGGGAGGGAAGGAGAAGTAGAAGGATGGGAAGATGGAGAGGTGGAAGGGAGCAGGGCTGGGAGGAGGGAGGGATGAAGGGTGAATAGATGGATGGAAGCAGGATGGAGAGAGGGAGGGTGGCAGGAAGGGAGGCCCAGACGGAGGCAGGGCTGCAAGGAGGGCTGGACGGGGTGGCTGGAAGACCGAGGAGTTGGAGCTAGCGGTGCCAGGGTGCGGGTCGGGGTGGAGGTTTCGTGGCCGCCGGAGCAGCGGAGCGGGCAGGAGGGATGTGCCGGGGGTGCCAGGGTGTGAGCCCTGCCCGCCGGCGCCTGCAGCCCGTGCTGGGCAAGTCGGGGCTGCCGCAGGGCCCCTCGGAGCAGAAGGTGGCCGTGGTGACGGTGGACGACTGCGACACGGGCATGGCCCTCAAGTTCGGCGCCGCGCTCGGCAACTACTCGTGCGCCGCGCAGGGCACCCAGGCGGGCAGCAAGAAGTGAGGCCGGGCAGGGGCCGCGGGCGGGCGGGCGGGCGCCGGGGGGGTCTTGGAGGTGACAGCGCCCACCCGTCCCCCCCGCAGGTCCCTGGACCTCACGGGGCCGCTGCTGCTGGGCGGCGTGCCCACGCTGCCCGAGAGCTTCCCCGTGCGCAGCCGCCACTTCGTGGGCTGCATGCGGCACCTGCACGTGGACGAGCGCCCCGTCGACCTGGCCGCCTTCATCGCCAACAATGGCACCGTGCCAGGTGGGGCGCCGTGGGGGCGGCGGGCACGGGACAGTGAGGGCCCCCCCCGGGGGGGTCTGTGCCCGTGGGT